ACACGGACAAAGGGCAACCCTGGGATGTGCCCACCGCATCTAAATAACTGAATTCCCGCAAGGAATCCCTCTGCTGAAGCATGAGTGCCAGTCATGCAGGGTTTTATGGCGCGTTTCACCCCCTACTGCCACCATGTTCTCTGCAAAATCACCTGTGGGACACTGCGCAGACTGCACAAAGCTGCCCACATTGGGAGGATGTCAAGCTTACTACTGGCTACTGGCCAGTTTGGGCCCCCCTGACTCAAAAAGGCACCAACCTCCTTTTGGGAAGAGCCAATTTCTGGTGACCCGTACAGGAATGATGGAGAACATGCACTTGTCTCATGTTCGGGTGGCCACAGGTCGCATCTGCCTGCCATTTGCTTCGTCCAAGGTGCTGTCATCGGCAGCTGGCTGTACCATTTCGACAATATCTCCTTGCCGCAATCTCCGGCTCTGACGTGGAAGACTAGCAATTTTGCCGCTCAAATAGCGCTAAAGCAGAAGCCCTTGGCGGGAACCCCAAGTCTTACAAAAACTTAGGCAGAAGGGAACCCCTTGGCCTTCTGCTTGTGTGGCCAAGTTTTCCTTGTGGCAAAAACATATGATGATGAGATCTACGCAGCTGAGAGAAGAATCGCTACAAATGACAAACGCTGACCAAGTCTGCGCCTTCCCGGGAGGCATGCGTCTGCCAGAATGTTCGGGGGGCGGCTAGGGCGATGGCTCACACAAGAAAGAGCAAGATCACTCAGGTAGTCTGAAATTCTTTGTGCTAAATAGGGGGGTTCACCCCGGTGGTGTCCTTTGCGGAACTTAAACGGTGTTTGGCTTTTGTAGTAGCCAACCAAACGCAACCAAATACATCATCTGGACACTTTGCGAGGCCAACTCTCTGCCATTAACAACCCGTGTCTGTCACTGAGGGCGCCTTGGTGCCCTTGGTCTTGTGCAGCTGGGCAACCAACTCCAAGATCTTCTTGAGCGCCTCCAGTGCGAGAAACCGCTCCCATTCGACCCGAATCGATGGCCAGCGGCTTGACGCAGTGTCAAATGTAAAGCGATGAAGGTGACTCGAACAGGAAAAATGCCTCTGGAAAAGCAACAAAGGACATCCTTGAACAATTGTTCTACTCTTGTGGCAAAGCAGAGATAAAGGAAGCAGTCTAAACCATTTCTCGGCTCAGAGCAACTCCTGGCCAGCTTCAAACATCCCATCATCAAGCCACACAAACATGCAATGCCTTATCAACATCTACTGTAGGCGACGGATTTCGTCATCCAGCCGTAGTTTGGTCAAACGGATATGACAAAAAAACATGTGCTCCAACTCTAAAAAGTCACAGCGAATTCGCCAAATCCGTGCGTACGTTTGCCGAACTTCGTCGCCTCAAAGTCGCCCAGTTCTCCAAGACCTGGATGGGAGAGCCTGGCGGTGGGACCCGGGCGCCTGAAGTTCGCAGGGGCTCGGGTGTCTCGAAAGCACTTAGGGAGGCTTCTACAGATGAGCCAGTCAAACAGTACGCTGATACCTTCATAAGGACATGGAGAATCGGAGTCGAAACTTAGAGTCCCCATGTCCCTCCCAAACTGTGTGAACTTGCTCCAGCATCTCCTCTCCTTCGCGGTTCTCAGCAACAAATGGGGGAATGATCCAACCTGGACTCTCGACCAATGCCTTGAGTCCTAGGGGATCCCAAACGGTTCCCTCCCAAAACTCAAACGATTCCCTGAGACACAGCAAGTCACCGAAAGAGCGCCGGAAGCTCATCACCATGACGGCGCGGAGGTAGGCCGGCAAGTGCAGCCTTGCGCTTTGCAACTTCCTCACCCAGTCTCTTCCTGGTTGCTTATAGATACCACGATATATGTATTATGTAGAAACATGAATCAATAATCAAGTAAATAGTCGGACCCGCTTTACATCCCGGGGCCTGCCGCTATTGTTGCAAAAAGCACTGCTTCAGGATCCTGTGACTGTGTCCCCCTTTAATAGCAAGTTCCCCCCAAAAACAAACATCTGCGCGAGCAGCATGCACTAAGTTAGATTTAGCGACGCCGAACCAGACTGCACTGTTGAGGAGAGGAAGGGAGCATTCAAGCAGATCCAACATTGTGTGCTGTGAGCAATATCAAACTGGGGAGTTGCTCAAATGGCAGGTTTAAACTTCAAGGCACTGAGCCTCAACAAAAAGTCTCACCGTGTCATTTTATCATTTTATCGGTCCCCCACAAGGAAACCGCCATGCAAAACCTAGAGGTAAAAACTCTGATTACCTGCTATAGTGGTAACTGGATCACTTGGGAGTTGTTCAAAATGGTGGAGTCCCTTTGCTTTGCATACTGCGTGGGGAGAAGTATAGCCCTGAAGGTGCATGCGACATGCCAGAGGTAGTCTGCAAGTGACTGCGCTCACTATGGGTGGACAGACTTGAATCGGTTCGCACAGTACGAAATCGAACCCTCTGGAAAGTGGTTGATGGAAATACATCCCCACCTTTTTCTGATGTCCACAGCGGCGCTTGCTTTGTTGGTAGCTGATGTTGAGGGAACGCCCCTCCGAAAGCGTATGAAAACAGGGCACCACTAGGGCACTAGGGGTCTGGGTGTATCATCACCTGGGCGCCGCGCTCCTCGCTGCCTTGCTGCAGCATCTGATCCACGAGGCCGCACAAGGCCACAAGGCTCGCTTCTGAGGCCTCGGATGCGTGAGCGCCGATGCAACTGCTCTGGAAAACGGGAACTCTTCTGGTGCACCCGTGAAAACCAACAGGAACGGGGCAGACCTTTTGGGGGTTGGCCATTTTGAGTGAGCACTCACTAACCAAAAGGGAATTGGCAAGCGCCACTGAACTGGGCGAAAATTGCGGAGACAGCCACAACACTGCGCAACACTTGCAGAAGGTGACTCGCAGAAGTCTTGGGGCAAGAACTACGATGAAGACTCCCGGCCTCCGGTGACAGATCCTCAAAAAGCTTTGCTGCCTTGACGTGGTCAAAGTTGGCGTCCTGCTGAGGGCGCCCATGCGTCGGTCCGCTCACGCTCACGCAGGGGGGTTCGGGAGGAATCTGCTCGCAAGCCCTAAACAGTTTGCCAAGGCCTACAGCCACAGGTGCCGGCTTTGAAGCCATGAGCCGTTCAGAACAGCTGCCGTTCCAGACTGGAAATGGCACTTATATATCCCGCCTCCAACTTTTTAGTTTCCCTCAATTCCTGCTTTCCATGAGTTGCATTGGATTAACTGACCTTCTGAGGCCTGAGATGTTCTGGACAAATACCTGTCATTCATTCACAAACTGGAAGTAGGGAACCCCCAAGTAAGAGACCTTCATCATTGGTGAGCTCGTTTGACTCACAGGTGGTCTTGCTACAATATGGCCAGAACGAATGCCAACTCCAACGAAATCTTCCTTTCGACTTGCGGTCCAAAGCCCCTGCCTCTTCAGTGGGCGGGCCCGGGCGGGTCTTGAACACCATGCACAGAAGGAAAAAGTCACCTCGGCACTCGGCACCACGTCCTGCCCAAAGACAGCATCCCGCATGGATTCTGAATGACCACCGTTAAAAGGTCCCGTTCGGAACGTGATCCTTCTTTGGCGTGTTCCGGGGGCATGTGACGTAGGCAATAAGGGGTGTCGCACCTAAGAGGAAAATGGCTAAGGTAACCTACTACCCTTTGCAAACGGGAATCCACTGGCTGTTTCGCTAATGCTATCTATGGTGGACGGCTCTTCTGATAAATTGCACTTGGGGGTCCAGCCATCCAATCAGGCTCTGAACCTTCATTCCCGACCTCTGCTGGAATGCGGAACAGCACTCATCTTGGTGCTTTCCCGACAGAGTTTCTGGCCAGTCGCAAACTGTCATGGGAACGCTTCTGAATTGCTAACTGCGCTTTCCTGAAACGATGAAGGGTGTCACGCAAGGCATCTTTTCTGGGGAAAACATCATTGTAAAGCTCACGTTGCGGCTGCAGACTTGGTTTGTGTGTGTATGTCGCCTGGGTAATTACCCCTGTGTTTCCAGCAGTACGGCATATCCCGCAAAGGGATGGGCCAAACGCTGTGTCTTGCGAATACCCAATTTCAGGCATTGGAATTATGTATGTAAACATTTTGTCTGTGTATGTTTGCGATTGTGTGCCGTGAGAAAGTTACGAATGCGGCGACAAACGGCGACCCACAGTGGATCCCAGCTAGCATTGTAGTAACCTAGTCAGGAAGGGTTGCTGGGATACAGTGTACAGGCAAATGATATCATTGGGCAAGTTGGTCTGTAAACGTACTCAGTTCTCGGCTAATCAACAGGGTTCCCAAACCCAAACTTGGTCTCCAGGCTGCACAGCTCCTGTGCCTTCCCTTCCCGCTCGCGTCCTGAGCGCTGCCAAAGAGGCTAAGTCAGTACTTTGGGTAGGTGTCATGTTGGGGGGAACCAAGAAACAAAATCGATCGGTGTTTGGGGTTCCCTTCCAACCAAGCTGAACTCGATGACCTGAAAAAAGACACACACACACAGCACACAGGCACACAGGCACACAGGCACACAAACACACACAGACATATACAGACACACACACACAGACACACACAGACACACACACACACCCACACGCGCACACAGACACACACACACACACAGACACACACACAGACACACAGAGACACACAGAGACACACACAGAGACACACACAGAGACACACACAGAGACACACACAGAGACACACAGAGACACACAGAGACACACACAGAGACACACAGAGACACACAGAGACACACAGAGACACACAGAGACACAGAGAGACACAGAGAGACACAGAGACACACAGAGAGACACAGAGACACACAGAGAGACACACAGAGACACACAAAGACACACTGAGACACACAGAGACACGGAGACACAGAGACACAGACACATGGACACACGGACAGAGAGACAGAGAGACAGACAGATACAGAAACACAGAGACACAGAGACACAGAGACACAGAGACACAGAGACACAGAGACACAGAGACACAGAGACACAGAGACACAGAGACACAGAGACACAGCACAGAGACACAGAGACACAGAGACACAGAGACACAGACACACAGAGACACAGAGACACAACACGAGACAACACACACACACAAAAAAAAACACATACACACACCCACAAAGACTCATTGGGCAGCATCTCTGGGCAAGGAGAACGCCCGCTTGGATAGAAGCTATTCGAGGTGTCTTATCCAAAGCAAGTGTGGAAGTTCCATCGAGCTCGGCACGAGGGTGAGATTGTTGGCATTATGTAAACGTCTTGGCTATCCGTTCCATGTTTGTAATATTCATACCGGATATCATATCCATTTGCAGTTGCCTCAACCTAGCGCTGATGTGCCTAAATAATCAATGTTTTGGGCAAGCTTACAGCCACAGAGCCAAACCAACATGAAGGAAACATACCTGCAGCTTCCACTATAAGTAGGCCAAATGACCTTGCTGAGGATTGATCGGAAGATCCTGTTTGGCTTGGCCATAGCACAGACAAACATAATCAGTACAACTAATCGCCAGCGTCCAGTCCCAATATGCCGACAAACAGTCAAGCAAAGAATTTTATACGCTTCCTTCCACCCCCACGCATGCCGGGCCAGCGGCCCTCTTCCGCTGCCTTGTTCACGGCAGCGACAGTCCTTATGGCCAGTTTGCCACTGTTTGTTCAGTTAACTTTCCCGATACGTCAGGTAGATCAAGGTATTGGAAGCCAAACTACTCACCTCGTACTTCTAAGTTCAGAAGTAATGGAAAGACATCGGCCGCAAGCGGACCAGCAGAAGTGATGCCGGAGCATGAATCAAACGGAATTACGACTGTACTAGTAATTTGTGAATACATACATGTGTATATATATATATTATGTGGATGCCAAACAAGTGTCTAGTGCGAGCAAGCACGACTCACCCTTCAAAATTCACCTGTTCAAAAGCACACGCTACTCGTGTACTCTCCTGCAGATATGCACGAACAGGCAGTTTAGAGTGATCCCCTTTTAGGGGAGCACTATTTTCTGGGTCACGTTTGCAAGGCGTGGCTTGCTTCTCATGTTAATAGCGTCCGATCTAATAAACTTGCCTGCGTGACTCAAGCCCACTGGCGCTACGCCAAGCCGCTCCAAGTTTGGAGCATGGCTAAAGTACCTGGCACTGAGGTCCGCTCTTCTTGCACTTTTTCTGCACCCTCATCACGGACCCTTCAACCACCATGCACCTATTGACACCGACGACATTTTTCTGGAGCATCTTGATCACCACATCGACAACTCTCTGCCAATGTTATTTCTTCCCCAAAAACACATGGAACATGCTCCTTGCCTGTTGCGGGATGCTTAGTTTGTCCCCGTTTTCCAAACCAACCTAATTTTGTAGTTGCTCTCACGAATGGTAGGAGGCAAAAAGCAGATCCACTGGATGCATTGGCAAGAGCTCAATTGGGTAATGTGTGCTTGTCCTTTGGGTTTCCCTTCAAACCTACTGATAGCCTCAGAAATCAAACACCCAAGTCATCCTTTGGTCTATAAACTGAAAAGTTTCGAGCTTTCGGGGGTTTCCTATCTTGCACCCATCTTTACAATACTTCCAGATCCTGAAAGGGACCCCCAAGTAAAGGACCGATTTCTAAGATCATCGTTTGTTTGGCACACGGGGAATTGTGTCCCCCAAACACTAAAACGGGGAGGCCAACCATTGAAACTCGCAGCCATATTTGGATATGTGCCAAAATGAGGGTACCCCCAACATGCTTGACTTCCTTCTGCTTTCCCAAACCAACCCCAACTGGGTACCCTGAAAAAACCATACACCGACACGCCCATTTCATGTGGCGCACTTTGGCAGGGCGCGGTCGGTCTGCGCCAATCTCAGCGCCTCTGCGAAGACCTGCCGATGGCAGATGTCTAAGCCACACCACCCCATTCTGAAGAGCTAACCCAATTATCCCCCAAAATGGATGCAACAACAATTACCATCGAAGCAGTCCACCCAAGCAAGGCTAAAACTCAACTGTTACCATTCTCTCCCTTTGCCGACTCCCAGCAGCCCACCAGGCCTCTCCAAAGCAGGGGCGGTCAGCCTTGCCCTTGTTGTTTTGCCCACATCCATGTCATGAATCATTGCCAAGGCGACACTGACAAACATAAAGCCCGTGGCTTCACGGCAAGCATTGAAGCATCCTCCTGATGGCACCGCGGGCCCCTCATCAGCCAACCCACCGAAGTGGTGCCCGCGAGCCAATTTTCCACAAGCTTCCAATTCACTTCCTCATTCTTTCAATGGGGGCCCACGCAGCAGCCCACGCAGCAGTTGTCATCACTTTCGGGAGGAAAGACCGGAAATCCTAGAAAATTGGATGCTTGGAAAGAATGGGTTTTAACCGAAAATGTGGCCTCATACAATACTTCCCCATTCTTTCTGGTTTTCCAATTTTCACCCAAAACAGATGCAAAAGCGAAAAACAAATAACAGAGACACACTGACCTTTGATTGAAAGAACGATGCTGGGGGACAGAACGATGGGGTGGGGAAAGAAGGGAAATAATGATGGTTGTGGGGAAAGAACGATGGTTGGGGAAAGAACGATGGTTGGGGAAAGAACGATGGCCCTGGGGAAAGAACGATGGTTGTAGGGAAAGAACGATGCCCCTGAAAACACAACGCTGCCAGTAAGATCGATTGCCTGCAGCGGCATGACTTTGGCAGGTCAGGGGAAGGGGTTGTCTAGTCTATTGGCCCTACCCCTAGCCCGCGGGACAACTTTCTGCATGCGTCAGTGCTCGCTGCAGAAAAAAATCAAAAACTGGGCCGAAACCGGCTGGAAAGACCGATCGTTGCACTGAGTGCGCATGTGACGAAAGAATGGGGAATCAACCCTTAGAAGATGGCATGTTTTGGCTGACGGTGACGAGTTGGAAACATACATTAAAATTGCGTGTCTTTTTGTGAGGGTGTCCCGTTCTGGTGGTCTCAAAATGTAGCGAAACCAAAAGGAACACCACCTTCTTTGGGACTCTTCATTTTGAGACAAGCCCAAATAGAATGCACGTTGACCGGGTGATTTGGAAGCTTTGCTGTTCGGGCCTGTTTGGGGCTTGCTCTAAGGGGAGAACGAAAGGAAGCTGCTATTGTGGATTCCCCATCTTTGGAGACAAGCCCATGGTTGTGGATTGAAGCAGTCTGCTTTTGGTACTTGTAGGTACATCGAGCATTTGCAATGGGGCAAAGCATGCAAGCGCAAAAGTAAGGATATGATGAACTGAATAACAGGAGGTCTCTTGGATGGCAACACACCCAATTGTAGTACAGCTACGACCTCGGCAGTTGCTTTGGGGCCAAGTCTCCTTTTGCAATCTGTGCGCGGACCGCTAACTGCCTCGGACGTCTTTGTCGCCGCGGCTCCAGTGGTCACCTGAAGAAAGCCAGTCTGACGTGGTTGGCTGAAGAGTAGGTTGGCGCAACAGGGTTGGGCAAACTTGTTTAAACACCCACCCCTGGTACCCTTCAAGGAGAAATCAAAGGATTGTATTCTAGAATATGTTCAATACGTCAAACAAGGCCTTTCACGAACCGGCGTCGCAAGTCAAGAATTGGTAGCCGGAGACGCACAAGAAGCACAGCGTTCTGTGCCTTGAAGGTGTCAAGGCCAACAAATAAGTTGGGGGGAGGCTTGACCAAGCCCTCAACTCGTCTACCAAAACCCGCCGTAAACCAAGCTTCCGAGCCCTTGGCCAGGCGGGAAACCAAAAGCCCGCCAGGTTCCCCCGCCAGCAGCTCAGCGAAGAGCTTCTGGAAGCGCACTTGGGCCCTGCGGCCGATTCGATCTGACATTTCTGGTGGCGTCTTGCTCAGCAACGGGCCTGATACAATTCCAGAATCTTGGCAATCTTGTCTCTGGGGCTCAACCTTTGGAAGTGCGGACAATGAATGTGTAAGCCCCAGCTCAACTGTGGCCCATTTGAGGGCTGGCCGACCTCATGCAGCCCAAGCAGACAAGCGTAATACTGCCTACCGGCCCACCTACCCATCCCCTACCACTACCAATTCCCCAGCTGGCTTGTACCCATCAGTTCCCCCTACCCACTGCACACTACCAGCCGCACCTTACCCATTACAGCGCAGTGACCACTGCCTCATTGACTCACCCCTACCGACTGTACTGTACTAAACTCTGCTTACTATCGACTCGCACACGCAGTTGCCATTCTTCTGGGCAAATTGCGGGAATTGAAAACTGGAAGCAAGCGATCTCCAAGCAAGGACCTTTTTCAAGGGTGAGTTCAAATGACCCCCAAGTGAGATCATCGTAGTTTGTCCAGTTGGCAAAGATCCTTTAACGCTCATTAAGGTCATCATGCCGGGCCAAACTTGGACCCAAGTCGGAGCCCACCCGATGTTAACCCAAGAAACCCCAATACTCAGACGCGCTGGGCTGGGCAGTTGTCCAAGCTGATTTAAGCCAAGTGGCCTGCACATTGTCTTCAAATTAAATGGATAATATCCACAGTTCGAACAAAGACCAGTGGCACATGTACATAGCCTCTCTGCACTTTGTTGAATGCAAGTCCACCAGCCACGACACGTTCATGAGACACCAAAGCAAAGAATCTCTCGCGCGCGGCCATTCAGGGGCCCTTGGCGAACCTTGGTCTCAGGTTGGACTGAATTTTTAGGGGCCTGACAAAGGGGCCGCTGAGAGGCAGCGGCAGAACACATTTGATACTGCTAGGCTGTGCTCGGCCAATACCCAGACCTCCAGTGACCATGGAAAAAACTGCTGTTTTGTTTTGTTCTTTTTCTTAGGGGGGAAGTTGATTTGAACGTGAACTCCCCGCCAAAAAGCGGAGAACAGGGCCCTCTGGTCTGAGACGAACATCTCATGACACCTTCGCGATTGATCAAATATAGTCAAAAATCTTTACTCGTACGTTCGCAATACAAAGCCAGCCAATTTGAAAATCGAAGCTGCCCATCTCCGCGCTAG